GTCTCATGCCAGCAACGGCTGACGCTATTTTCCAACTATTGTGTGCTGACTGACGACGAAGACAGAACAACATTTTGTTCCTGCCAGTGTGCATCGACCACTCACATGGATATTTCTACTCGCACGGCACAGGGACATTTCTAGAGCATAGCTCTCATGCAATTGCTTACTAAAGAACCAAGAGTTGTTACGCACCAACCCAGACGCAAGGTAAACATAGGTGAACCTGAAGTGTACATAGTTTTCACAGATGACGCTGCGGGGGGTTATGGGATATGTTGCCGCCATCACCGCGTACTGACATAGTTTCGGTTCCAGACTGCCGCCTGCAATGCTGGCTGCTGCAGCATCATTTTCGGCACACATTTTTTTGCGTTTTTGTGTTATCTGCAGCAATGTTCAGTTGCCGCAGCAGAAGCAGGTCCTTTGCAAAGGAGAGCAACACAGTGCCAAATATAAGGCTGCATTGTTTGCCGAAAGTGAAAAACTGACAGTTTAAGTGCACAAAACTGCTGTCGGAGTAACACCGGGGCTCATGCTCGCATACACCAATAGGATTTGGAGAACCTCAACAAGGACGAATCTGTTCTTGTTGCTTCCTTACCGAAAAGGAATACATGTGTCATCCTTAATGGCTGAACCGCATGTAAGCGATTTAGTGAGCGACGAGATAAGCGGCGGAGCTTTCTCAATGTCGCTCGTCGCGTAGCTCAGTTTTTGGGATTTCTCGAATATGTCGCTCATCGCCTTGGTTGCTTGCTTCTTACTTTCATGCGGTTTATACTTAATACGTGGATTGCTGAAACCTTACGTTCGTACGGTGTGCTTTGCCACAGCAGTCTGGGCAGCTTTACAGTGTCTGGTGGTGTCACGCTGGAGAAACTGACAAATGTTCTACTAGATTATGGACAGCCGCTACTACTCCCCTTTTATTACTTTTAATTTATTTACAATATACAGCAGGCTCAAGCAGGATGGGACAATATATAAGTGAACTGTAGACAATTCACAACCATTGACGTTCATAGTGCAAGGCAATAAACCACAATATAAAATAGCACATTGACAGAAGTGATCAACAAATAGCTGGCACCATAACCACTGCGGAACAATAAGAATAAAATATAACACCACAGGGTGATTCGTGGCAATTTTTAAAGAACTAACGAAAACCAAAGAATTATAGTATGCTATAAACTTTGACTTGTAAGGATTTGTGCGAGCGCAACAGATATATAAATGTAAAGAACAGGCATCGGCAAATTGTTTAACTGTAGTGCATTCAACAACCTCACCTGGTAAAATGTTCCAGTCATCTTTTTGAGGAAAAAGTTGGACTACGATCGAAAGGTTCGGATGTGGCATGAATTGTTTGTTCTTGTGGAATGCTGAACGGAGGGAGCAAGTACGTGGAAGCCCAGTTGAAAATTCCCATTAGATTCCAATTGGAATTTCCAATTGGTACCAGCTAGGTTTTGGGACAACCAATTGGTCACTGCAATGGGAACCAATTGGAATCCATTAAGATTCCAACTGGAAAAGTTTTTCCAATTGGTGAGACCCATTGGCCAGTGTGCTTCCAATTGGAACCCACTAAAACCGATTGGTTCCAAAAACCGATTGGTTCCAATCAAAACCAGTTAGAATTCTAATTGGATCTAATGGGAATTTTCAGCTGGGAGGCTTGATACCAGACTGCCTGTTCACAATACAACACAAAAGCTTTAATCTAGATAGCTTACGTCGGGAACACGACTTAATATTTGACAACATTCGAGAAATATAACCTGTCCTTTTGGATCTGCCGTATACAAAACGTAAACTCTGGTTTTGAATACATTCAATTTTAGAAGAGTTGATTTTGGTTCCCGGATCCCATACTGCAGTGGCGTATTCTAACACTGGTCTAATTAGAGTTTTGTTTGCAGTCAACCTTGTTGATGCTGGTGCCAGTTTAAAGAACAACTCCGTTTAATAATCGTTTTTGAAAAATCTATGCCGTCCTCTTCAGTATCACCTAGGCAGACCACACATAAAATATTACGACCTAAAGCTGTCTAAAATTTTTTTAAACGGTCTGGCAAACTTCAACGCGCCAGGTTGCAGAAATGGGCTGACTCTAGCAGGCGAATGGAGGTGGAAACAACAATGCAGTCAAGGCTACAATTTTGGCGTAGCCCACATAGAGCAAGACGTCACCATTGCCCCATTTTGTTTGTTTTTACTTCTCCGGGCAAGTGTAACAGGTTACGTCAGCAACGTTTCCTCTCGGGGCTCAGTCGTCCGGCTGTCCCGCCGTTACCGTCGTTTCACTGTTTGTGATAATTGTCTTGGAGTTTCATTCATACTACATGCACAGACTGATGCCGCAGTTGTGCAGATGTCGTTGAATGTCGTAGACACCAAAACATGGTGACGTGTGCGGTGCAGACAACACTTGGCCTGGCACACGCCCGCCCCAACGGTGGCCTGCCGGCCCGCCCGTTGTTGCGTAGAGGATCACGTGACATCTCGTACCACGCGTGATAGCCATGTTTCTGGCGGGCCGAGGCCAATGTTGCCAGACGGAGCCGAGGTTCCGGTTTCGATTTCTGCTCGTGTTTAAAGTAAGATTTAACAACATATATCCCATTTTTTGCGAAGCAAGTGACGTAGTGTCTTTTATTAGTGCTTTTTAATGTGAAGTCGCTCATTATCCTGAAATTTCCAGAATTGAGCGCAGTTGCCCTTTAAGTTTTCTTTTTATAAAACAAAGCTTTGGAAAGGCAAATGAACATATATTATCTATGTGCATACTCCAGCTAAAGCTAGGTGTGAGCATTACACCCATGTGTATACGTTACATGGTAAACTCTGGAAACTAGAGAGCTCTTAAAACACATAATCATAAGTTAGGTCACTTTTCTTCTTAGTGAAGATAATACAGGCAGTTTTTTGAAAATTAAGTTTCATTTTCCACTTTTCATACCAACCAGACACTACAAAAAGAGCTTTATTAAGCATAGCTTGATCCTTGATCCTTCCAGTTTAGGACTCCATAAACAACATCCACATAGAAAGAATGGGTACCGTCAATTTCAACATATTGCTTTCTTTGCTTAAGTAAGACATTATCCAGTGTGTTAAATTATGAACTCCATCTGGCTTTTAACTTCAGAAGTGATGCATCATGGGGCAGGGCCGTACCTAGGAAAAAATTTCGGGGGGGGTTTTCGGGGACAACGGCGGCCATTTTGAAAGTGTCTATTGTCTTATTTTCGCCTATGAATCATGTGCATCGGTGGCATATAATGGAGAGTTATAGCGAACCGGAGAACCGGTCCCGGTTTGGTACCCGGTAGCCGACCGGCGCCACTGCGCGTGCGCAGAGGTGGAGATTAAAATCGGCTGGCTGCCAGTGCACCGACCAGGGCCGTACCCAGAAAAAAATTTCGGGGGGGGGGGTCAGAACCCCCTAACCCCCCCCCCCCCTGGTTACGGCCCTGTCATGGGGTACGGTATCAAAGGTCTTTGAAAAATCGATAAAGACCGCATCGGCTTGCTCTTTGTTGATAATAACGCCGGTCAAATCGTGCACAGTTGAAGTAAGCTGGGTGACTGTAGAGCGATCACATCAGAAAGCATGCTGAAAGTCGCTAAAAAATTGATTGCTTTCGAGGTAATTGCTGATGTGCTTGTTCCCTATGTGCTCGAGGAGCTTGGAACATATGCATGTTAAGGATATCGGTCGGTAGTTCGAAACGCAGAGCTTATCATCAGCCTTATGAACTGGTGCCAGATTGAAATCTGTAGTATTGCAGTGGGTTTTTCTTTTTCAAATTGCAACAAAATTCATTCAGCTTTCGGGTTTATTACGGTTGATCGAACATCGTTCCATCGAAATATGTTTTGGAGAACAGGCACATTTTACCGAAGCACGGTTTCGAGAAAGCAGAGCCTCAATTTAGAGAAACTCCGTTTATCTTAAAAGAGGATGCTGTTTAAAAAAGGCTTTCCTACTTCACTGAAACATCACTGGGGCCCATCACTGGGTTCACGCCACTTCACGGCGGTAGTTTGTGGCGGCTCATTACAAAAATTTCACCACTCTAAACTAGGAATTTATAAAGGGATTAGCAAAGATACTTTGTACAGACACTGATCGATATTTCGGACATGACGGGTGCATTATAAATTGAGGGTACGTAATACGCAAGTTGCTGTGTTTGCACCCCTAGTAAATACGGACTGGAAATATTGGTTGAACTCGATACATACATTCTCTTTAACAATGTTTTTTTTTTTTTGTTTTTTTTTTTGCCACTGCAAGGGAGAGAGACAAGTAATGCCACAATTTTTGTGAATTCCTCGTAAAGGTTTCTAGAAGAAGGCTGATCGACCGTCTGCTATTTTCTTTCTGTAAAGCTTGAAGTGCACTGCTCAAGGCGAACTTCTTACTAACCATTATCAAACAACTAAAGCAAGAAAAGAGGGGGGGGGGGGGGGGGGTTACCGTTAAAGGCCGACATACACTTTGCGCTTTCCACTTGCGCCCTCCTCCCCCTTTCATATGCCCTCTCCACTGTTTACCTTGCCCCAACCTGGCTCCCTTCGCATCTTAGGGAAGAGAAGCGCTAAGAGGATTATCTTCCTTGCAGCTCGAGGTCGCTGCTTTGAAGCGTTCTTCCGCAGAACGAGCGCTCGCGCTAGAAATGCATGTCTCAAAATCAGGGGCGCGGGCTAGCTCGCGCTTGTAGCAAAGCGAAACCCAACGAAGTTGAAACCATGGTGTTGGCCTTCAGCTGTATAACATACCAAGGCGCCTAAAACACGCCTTTCAAGGCAGAGCTAACCATTTTAATTGTTAACTTAAAAAAAAAAAAAAAGTTTTCTTTGAGGACGTTTTAGTGGCTCTAGGGCGGCCGAGAACGTGTATTTCGAGTTGGAATCCACCCAAACAAGACAATCCAATCCATTGCGTTGGGCTTTGTTTTTGTTGTGGTTAGAACCTCCTTGTTAGCAGGCGATTTTTGCGTGGTTGATCCAGGTTGCTTTGTTGACTGCGTCAGCTGCGTCTTCTGTGCTCGTGGTGCTTGCATGAACGTGTTTACATGAATGGGCGAAAAGAGCAGGTTGTTGCCGCGTGTCCACACCATCCTCCCGCAGGTGAGAGCAGTGAAAATGCGCCCATCTCTTCCTCGCGCGCGCTTGGCGCATATCATCTCACGAGTTGTACCATGTGTATTAATTACTCGTATGAGTATTTCTCCGGCGTATTCGACAGTAGCACCCCTCGCCGACCGGTAGCGTCTGTCAGAATGATGCAACGACAATCTGCGGCGTCTACAGCGTATTTCCGCAAAAAAAAAAATGTAGTGTCTTTCACCACTAATCCCTCCGTGCAATGCAGTTTGCCTGACATGTCGCGCTATCTAGAGGTTAGCTTTTGCAACGATGGCCAGTCCGTCGAGGTTCCGCCATTTGCAAAGCTGTAAACCTGCGTTCTAGCGGTTCTAGCTACAGTCGTATGTAGTTTTCAGGTAGTGCTTCATGGCAACGGTGAAAAAGAAGCCTTCCGGCAAAGACCGCAATGTCCGCCCGAAGAAAAGAAAGACGCACCGGTACTGCTGCGTCATTGACTGCCATAACAACGAGGGCACCCCGAACGTGAGCCTGTACCGGTTTCCTTCCCAACCTTGGGACAGGGAACGGCGGCAGAGGTGGATTGCGGCTGTGGGGCGCGTAAAGTAAGTACGTTCGCGCACGGAATCGTTGAGGAAAGCCAAGGAATAGAACGCGTGATTCTCAAACGTTCTATTTCTACGCTTGAAATCGGTCGCATTTGTGAACGGTTGTGTGGCTGCATCTTCCTTTGCCAGTTGCTACTCATTTATGGATGATGGAAAGCTGCCGATTGTTAATCGACTCAATGCATTATTTTTTTTTTATTTGACATACTTTTTAGGTATTGTGTCTCTTTGCAACGTCCCAAGTTCACAGCCAATCTGTTCTAAACAATTTAATTCTATTTTGTTGTAAGAGTAAAGAAAGCTATACGCACTATGTCGTGCATCTCAACCGGAAATGGCTATGGACCTTTTCATCCTCCTCCGCATGGGCGCTGCCATCTTGGAATCACGTGACGCGGCAGCCATTAGGTTGCTTCAACTTGCTCCTCCGCTCTCCCCTCCGCACCTTGGCGGATGCGTTGTATCCGTGTTTTTCGTTGCTTTTCACCGCGCTTTCTGGCCTTGCTTCGGAGACTAGTCCGATATGTCTACTCGGCGACTAAAGCATCACGAGAATTTAAAGGTTCTTATGTTAACTGTGGTTTGTTTAGCAATAGTAACGGAACATTCCCAGTAAGAAGCGCGTATATTTATATCGCGCATTTAGGATCGGAAGGCATCAAGAATAGTCAGCGCAAGGAGACTATCGTTATTTCCTGAAAGTATCGTTCTTTGTATTCATAACATATCGAAAACAGTTGCTTTTGATTATGTAAGGAAACTCGCGGAGGAGATGGACAACGAACGTTTAACTTGTATTTTATCTGACGCTAGAAGTAATGGTACGTCAACATCAGGCGAATTGTTTGTTCATAATATCACACCTACATGTTGATGAGGTTCTTAATCTTTTTTTGCGACATGAATATTCGGTTGGTCGGTTTACTTATGAAGTTTAAGAAATTGTATACCATGCTCGCTTCCATTTCGACAGTCATTTAAGTGATTTATTGATTATATTTAGATTACCAGTGTCATCCACTCAATTTATTTTAACACAAAGGTTGGGACTTCCCGCGTAAGAAACTGCCACAGACACTTAACGGTAGCGAGATTTAGAATAGCGTGCACAAAGAAATAACGCCGTTTCTATTTGCAAATCCAAAACGCGGTTTGGGTTCGGCGCATGCTCAATAACGACGACGCTTTTTTTTTTTTTTGCGTACGCGGTTTTAGTTTTTGTGCGTATTTAAAATTTGCAATATTTTACGCAAAAAAAAGAGCCGTTTGCATAACAATTTTTTTAGTCCAGGATTGTCGATGGTGCATAGAGGTTTACTCTTGGTGGGTGGCAACGCCTAAATTTAGAGAGCGAATCTGTTCAAAAAAATTAATATTTGTTCACACAGGTTCGTAAAGTGGTGCCTAGCGCTAGAATTCAGCCAAACTATCCGAGGCATTTCTCTTCCTGAGCCCTTTAATTTTATTTGGCCACTTTAACGGAAGACAGATGCCAGATTTAATTTGATGGGCCTGTCACTTATATCTTGAGTAAGCAAATGTTCATATAAAAATAATTTATTTTCTAGGGCCAATATCGCGAAATGCTGCTTATGAGTACTTTAGCAGGGTTGACAATTTAAGAAACTTCTTACTCAGCATGTCAAAGCATGCTCGAGTACTGAATTAAAAAAAAAAATAGGCCGAGACGACACTACTCTTTTATACCATTTATATGTGTCATTACACGAAAGGTTTTATTCTGCGAAGTTCACTAAAGGTTGGGTGCCCACGAAACCGAACAGTGAGTAGTAAACTCGCGCGTTCATCTGTTCTGGCCGATTCAGCACATTGCTGATGAAGCTGTCGATATGCTTATTTATATTCACATGTTAGTCTCTTCATTATTGTTTTTCTGGAAACTGGTGTCATCGGGTACGGCTGTATACGATGGTAATTTCCCCTGTACACCAGTCAGGCGTTTTGCAACCGACCATAATCAGCTACATCAAAGGAGTGGGTAAACAAAAAGCCCACAATTTAGGCTAAGATACATCTCGTAGTCCTCAAGGTGACTCAATACCATTGTTTCATTTGTTGTGTTCTACAATGAAATTAATCGAATCACAATATTAAGAAAAAACAATGTAAAACAGCAACACAGCCGCGTTCACGTTCAAACCGAAACCAACCAAAGTGAAGCAACCTGATGGCGCCGAGTTTGTCAGCGCCCTCTACCCACCGGTGAGGCAACTAATAAAATGAAAAGGTCTGTACGCACGACGCGAAACTTGTTGGGTCTCGTATAAAACGTTTGGTCAAAACTAGTTTCTGAAGCAGTGGCGTAGCGTAGTGGAAAGGTGTCTGCTTTATATGCAGTGGACTCAGGTTCAATCCGCAGTGGGGGTTTACTTTTTTTTTTTGTGCAATATTTGGCGATATTTATCTTTCTTTTTTACAATTATCACTGAAAAAAAAAAAAAAAAAAAAAAAAAGAAACATGTTGTTGACGAAACTTTGCTGAAGTAAATGGTATGGGGCTCCCTTTCCGGAGGTGCAATGGGGGACAGCGGGGCTTGTGTTGCTGGCTGGATGCCACAAAGCGGCGTACACGGGGGGGGGGGGGGGGGGGCGGCGGCACAAGTGGGTTAATAGGTTTGTAATTAGCAGCCGCAGACTGTCACTGTGAAGCGGCGTGAACGCAGGCGGAGGGGTGGGTTAAAGCGCTCCCCAGTGATACACGTGCCGTCCGAAAAGGGTGACCCAAATGGCACGAGCTCTCCGCATCATTCGTACAGCCGTTTCCGGTTGATATGCATGACGTAGTGCGTATAGCTTTACTCTTGTTGTAAAAATGCTTCAAGAAATGTAAATTGTGTTAAGAGTGATCAGGTACTTCTTTTTTTTATTTTTGCACAGAAAAAGGTTACAAATAGAGCTCTGTACCTTATTGGAGTCTCTGCCAATGTTAGCCTGCCATTTAGCAAATACCATAAATATTTATCTCAATTACTTTTGCAGTCCAGATGGCTCCCCATGGGCGCCCAACGACGGTTCAAGGATCTGCTCGGCCCACTTCGTCAACAACGAAAAAAGCAATATTGCGATCCATCCAGCGTACTGCCCCACGCTTTTTCCACGAGTGTATAAGAAAAATTCCACGATTCCACAGGACCAAGTATCAAGGTTTGACAGGTAGTGTCTCAGAGCAGCTTCAGTTTCTTATCTCAGTGTGCATTGAACTTAGCCTTTTTGTGTGCGTCATCAGTTGAAGGAGTTTTGTCAGCGGTTACCACCTGCAACGACAATTCCCAGTGGTCCAATTACCAACAGTGGGAGCAATCGCATTCAGTAGCATAACTTCATTAGTTTTAATATGTTGCTGGGTTATGTGATCGCACATTCCTTGATCCCAACTTTTATATGCACGGAATGTACTAGAGGTTCACTAGGTGAGTTTTGTTTCTCACAGCAGTCATTTCTTTTTTACAGGTGGCACCGCAGACGGGCCAGAAGAGGTGGCTCAACAATGGGTAAATGGCAGCGGTTAAGGAGCATCTGCTTTTCCGATGGTTTTCCCTGTAATTGTGGAATGCTTGTGCATGCCGCTTGTTCGTCGTCGCTCACAAACTAGTCGACGGCGGCAGCTTTTACTGTCGCTGAGGGAGCCGTAGTGACAGTAAACGTGCCGTCAATAATTTCCCATGACAGGATTTAGGTGCATAAAAGAAGTTAGTCATACTTCGTCTTGAGGTAATCAATCATCAACAATCACGTGTTGCCAGCTGCTTCTATTTTCGCACTCACCTGGATCGTGATATTGTACACGTGTCTCCCTTGTTGGGAGTGACACTTTGCCGAAACGTCCACCCCGTACGTTTTGCTTGTTGCATGTACATGTATTCTTTTCAAAAGCCTTTGTCTTTTTCTCTAAGCTGGCTCTCAAAAGCAAGAGTGAATCCCGTTAAGCGGTTTAAAAGCGCAAAAGTAGCACAATCGGAGGCATTCCGTCCAATGTGCACCGCTACCACCGCTGCTCCGCGAAAACTACCAGGTGTTTCGTATCTTTGCCGACAGAGGGCACTTGCTCTCGCTCGACTCTGGCGTCCTCTAATCGTCTGCTCTGAGCGAAAACTATGCATCGCTGAACGCTCAGTGTCTGCTCAAACGTAGCCAGTGACATGGCTGGGGGAGGGTGCTTATGGGGATTCAGCTAGGCCGTCGGATTCGGAGGGTGTTTTCTGGGGTGTATTTTTTGCCTGGAGTTTATTGCAGTTATTTTTGTCTGATTCCCAATTGTCCAAAATTCAAAGCTTAATTTTGCGGTGTCTCTCATTTAAAATAAGTAATAACTAAATAATATCCAGGTATAAACTTGTGCTAGATAAAAAAAACAAAGTAAAATGCGCTTGTTTCAATTAATATTTCTTCAGCTGGATTTGGCATTGGTTCCACTGTTGTTGACAACACTAATTTGCCCGAAGGCAGTTGCTGGGAAGCTCGTATTTGTCCCAACCTATTCCATCAACCAACCTGCAGCTGCGCAAGGTGGAGTGGTGAAGGATGTAATACAGAAGGTTCAACTGCCTCTCTTCCTCATTGTATGCAATCTTTATGGTCCATAGCTTTCACTGTTACAATAACACCACCTCTCCTTCCTCTAGAGCACAAATAGTGTGGCGCAATCTGGAAACCAATACAGTGGCTTTTGTCGTAACCCGAAAGTATAATGACCTATTGTTCTGGATGAACCTTGACGAGATAAACGGTGAGACCCCCTTTGACAACGGTCCGTGCGCTGTGCGCTCATCAAATTTAATTGTAAAATATTGTCTTTCTTCTTTTTTGAAAGGGGGGGCCCTTTAAAATTTGGTGTTGGTTGGGTAAACTTGAATTAACCAAGGCAGGTATTTTTCCGAGTTTTTCGGATTTATCAGAAAACACGGAACCCTACCATAATCCACGCATCCACTTTGACCCTCCCCCCTCTTCTCCACACCCCTAGTCATAGACATTGCAGCCACTTCAATGCCCTCTCACCCCCCCCCCCTCCCCCCCCCCCCCAAAAAAAAAAAAAAGAAAATCATGGATACACCACTGAATGTAGCGCTAGCAGTTCAAACCAGATTCCAAAGTTTCAGGACCAGCCGCGTTATCTTATTCAGGAGTTACAGCTTATTTTTCTAGCCTTATTTTCATCATTCTTGTCCAGCTCGCTTGCACCTTTGCATTTAATTGCATTATAATCTCAAGTTCTAGCAGATTTTTTCTCAAACTTTCAATGTGAAGACGGGGTCCAGTCCTGGTAGTTGACGCCATTCATACCCGTATATTCGAGGACTTCGTCGACCACCATTTTTTATTTGAAAAGTTAAGAAAATCTTTAATAAGATTGCAGTTGGTTCGGAAACTTTGGTATCAGGTTCGGACCACTAGCACAACGTTGGGGCAGAGACTTAGCGTTGGTCGATGCGTAGAGTTTTCTTTCGAGACACCCTCTAGAACTGCGGTACATGCCACTTCACTCTTCCAATTTCCAAGAGAGTAGACGGCTGCGAAGTACCACATGGGTTAGCCTGCCAAATTGAGGCCCCAAGCGACGCCGACTGGCAGGAAAGTGCCGTGCAATCTAGCTTCTAACTAGCCTTTGGAAACCACATCGTGGTATCGATGAAGATTGCAAGGTACATTCTCCGCACAGTATTTACGAACATACTGGAAGGCGGCACCGACGCGGCATCTCTTAATGGACGCGGGGTCATGTTTGTACTTGATCTAGACCCTCGTTTTGAAGCTGCTGAGTCACCATGTAGGATTTGACCAGTTCCAGTGTTGAAGCTCTGTAAAAAGAAGTCTTTGCATTGCAGCATTGAGCAGATGGAGTGTGATTAAAAGGATGCTATTTTTAATATACTTGGAAAGATGATTGCACGCTGCAATCATCTTTCCAACACAGTAACTCGGAAATCGTCAAACATAGAGTTGGGGCCGAAAGCTTGCGGAGCACGGTGATTGTGCTTGGGCGGCGGAAGTGCTGCGTCATCGTCTCTAGAGTCCGATTGGTGCGTAACAGCAGCCCCAACTTTGTGTTTGACAAGTCTATGGAGCCAAAGCAGGAGGAAGGCAATGAGAAACTGCTGTTGGTAGAGCATCTAGTAGGTTGTTAACCTTTTCACTGGCTATACAGGGAGTTACGGAGAAAAGAGAACCGTGTTTTTCGGCCCGTGTAAATAAATTGTGTATCGCTGAAAGCTCAAACTTCGTGGGAATGTGATATTAACCTGTATCGGGGGATAATTGAAGACAAAATTCCTTTATGAACCGACGTTTACCTAAGCCTAATATCTTTGAAACAAAAACTAACATTCCGGATGCTTGAGGAATTTTTATCGGTAAAAAACACCTGTCAGCAAGAAAGACTATAGTTTTTTTTTCTTGCTGACAAGTTTTTTTTGCGCTGAGTAGATGCTACGGGCGCCCACAATGTCATTTCTTGTAACAATATTAGGCTTGGTTGAATTTCGGCTCGTAAGAAGATTTTGGTTTCCTAAATTACCTTTTGATCCAGGTAACATTATATTCTCGAACTTTCACATTCTATCCCAACCGCTAGCGTCACATTCTCACAGAATTTAAGATTTCTGCAATGCATAGTTTCTTCAACCGAGCCGAGAAACACAGTTCTCTTTTCTTGCCTTGCCTTTATCTGTAGCATTGTTCACATACCCGTTGCCTGTCTCTTTGGTTAGTGAAATTACTGTGAATCGAATGACTCCAATATTCGAGATGACTGCTTCCACTTGCCTTTCTGAGATCTGTATCCGGGAGCGGCAACCCTGCGGTCGTCGGCTTGTGTGTAGTGCTTGATAATAGCCCCCACCAGCATCCCTTCTTTCTACGACCTATGACTGTCAAATCATACGAAGCATGTCTTTTGACATTTAGCCTAACTGGGTTTTCTTCCTTCTGGTGGGTGTATGTTTTAAAGCCTATTGCATAGTGTATTTTACCAAGCAGACAGAAATCATGCAGCTCTTGCCAAACTGCCGGAGGAGGCGCCCGCTACTTCGAGGAATGAAAGGGGACACCTGGACGACGGCGGCGGAATGCGCGCTTCCAGCTTGCACCTGGAGGGACAGTGGAACGGCGCTTTTGCGGTTAAGCGAGGTAAGCCGACCCGACATTCTCATCTCAACCAAAACAATCGGTGTAATTCCTTCGGACATTTGTCATTGGCATGATGAGAAGTGGGGAAAATAGGACGTTGCTGCGCATCAAAAAGCACTGAACAGATTGAACAAAACATAGAAAATAGAAGCTCTATGCTTGGCTGCATGTGTCCACCCCTTAGCTGATAGTGGGGCGAAAGGTATATGCTTATTAAACCTGTCCTATGTCTTATCTTTCGACCCGTGATCACACTCTCGTCTATGCCGACACATACAGAAAACGGTGAGGTGATGAAAACGAGGCACCCGATAAAACAGCGTAAACGACTTTATTTTCGAGGGCTGAGCAGGTTGCGAATTTTGTGAATTATGGGCTTTAGCAGGCACAAAAGTTTGCGATTGCAAGTGGTATGCAATGTATTCATTGCCGTAGAGTAAACAATTTGTGTGCTCTATTTTTTTGCAATATTTCTCAAGTCCAAAAATGAGGCCCTTGCAAAAATTAAGTCATTTGCAGTAAGCATATGACTCCATGCCTGTTCCCTAGTGTAGAGCATTGAGAACAGGTGCAGATTTCCTTTGCATCCCGCCCGACAGAACAAGACGAAGGATCTGCCATTTCGATTTCTGAGGCCTGGCATTCTGGAGACACCGATTACCTGTCCTTTCCCCACGGGCACCTGTTTGCAAGCCAAACCACGTCCGTTCTTGTGAAGAAAAGTAAGCTCTTTTTGCACTGCCGGTCTAGCTGTTCTACAGGTTGCACTGACAACCTATGGTAGTTTGTAGGACCATGGTGCATTTAAGTGCTGCTGTCCGCCGTTCAGATTGTTTTCCGGTTGCTATTTCTCACCCCCTTTTACGCACGGCCCGTGTGATGACGAATTTCCTTAGCTGTCTCGTTATACAAATAGTTTTTTCTTCTTCAAAAGGTGCATGCTTTTATTTAAAAGCTGTAGGGAAGTGTTACGTTTTCAGTGGTGACTGAGGCTCTCTTTCCGACCTCACTCTCAGCAGCATTCATATGCTGTCTTCCTTACCAGAGCCAGAGGATGTACCGCCTGCTTCAGCGGGTGAAAGCGTCCACTTTGATGGTTACGGGATTATGTCCGAACGTCCACTGCAACTGGAGGGACACAGGGACGCAGGCGCTGTTGCAATCAAGGAAGGTAAGCTATAAAGTCCTGTCTCCTCAGCTAAAACACTACTATGTATGCTAATATTCAAAAATGATGTAAACGTTTTAACCAGGGTATCGAACTGGAGAAAAACCCCTTTATATTTGTCTGCAAACAGGAATTGAACTGAAACATTCCAATTTGTTTTTGCGAAATAGAAGTAATTTTCTGCGATTTTCGGTTCAAGCTGAAAAATTGGGCTTGTGAAAGCTACATCAGGCATGTGTATATATATCTTTTTTTAATTTTTGTGTTTTCACGTAACATTTTTAAGCCCTGAAGACATCAGCCGAATGATTATGAATTTGAGGTGTGCTTGAGGGCTTTCACATATGCTTGAGCATGTGAAAGCAAGCTTCCTCTGGTCGTGACAAGCATTTATCTGCCTACTCACATTTAGACCCATTGCAATGTTAATTGTCACCTGCTTTTAAAATAGGTGTGGATGTTTCATCCAAAATTTAAAGCTAGCATTTATCAGATAGATTGTAGTTAAAAGTCATGCTTACAGGCGAGGCAGCAACATTATCCTGAACTTTATGCTTTGGCATAAGTTACCGTTGAGATTCCTGCGACCCTTGTCATCAATAAAATTTATTTCATTGGCTCAAAATAGCTCGAAATTCGAAATTGATAGACTCTTTCTAGCTTCTCCCATTTAGTACCAAAGATTTTGGTAAGAATATTGTTTCTTTTTTACTTTCTCAAGTCCTTTTATTAATAGACAAATTCAAACTGGTATTAGCATCTATTGTTTTACGCCGAAGCTAAACCGGACCGAAACCATTTCCCTTGAATTGTAACGAAAATTAGAACAAAAAACACTCTAATTTGAAACTCCGTTTCTAACGCGGAATGTGTTATAGAGCTCACTCCTAGCATTTATTTTTAATGCACTTCTTGTAACAGAAAAGCATCACAAAGAGAAGTACACAACACAATTTGCGTACGTCTTCGTCACAGTAGCGTGCGAAAGGCATGCTCTCACAGCCACAGGCGGTGATGATCGTCAAAACTTTCTACTCCACCGTTGCATCGACGGGTGCGGTGCAGTGTATACAATCCCAAGCATGCATGAAGACAGCGGCTGCACGGCGTGGCTGCTAGCGAAAACGTTTTGCGTCTTACATTGCGCGTGGCAGTCGACAGACAGCGGGCACTGCACTGGTCGTTTCTAGTCGACGTCTACTTACCCGATCATTGCGCTACAGAAAATGTTCGGGGCCTCGGTCGGTGCTAACTTCTTTTACATTGGTGTTGGAAACTCCACACCTTTCGCCAAAACACGCCGGAAGGCACGGACTGCACGCTGGACGTCGGACGTTTCAAATACACTTCTGCCCTTTTCACACTGTCGGTCATTATAGTAGCAGTTGAAAGCGACCGTGTCACCGTTGCCCTCGTGCTTGCAGTGGTCTTGGGGTAGGACTTCACTCTGCTTGGAGAGGCCTGGCGTAGCAAATGAGACGAGGCAGACGGGGATCGTCGATGAGTGTAACAATTCCTCATTTCCATTTGGGTCCTCCACTGGGACAGAGCCGAATGAGTCTGCCTTTTTTTGGACCGGCGAGGGCTCGTGCACTGGGGCCCCTGACGGAGCGTCGTCGTCGCTAATACACCCGAGTGGACTATGGATGGGCGCCCGGCGGAGCACAACTGAAGGCGAGTTTGTGCCTTTTTATTGCCTTGGGGAGAATAAAGGGCAAGTTTGTGATGGCCCTGGGCAAAAGATGATATTACTGAAAGAACAATTATGCTCGCTGGTGGGCAAACGAGGTGCACTCTCTTTGTTTCGAGCGCTTCCGGTCGTCGACGGTCATAGTAGTGTAAAGGTATTTCGGAGAGTTCTCGGAGCAAAAATGGATGTGTCGAAGTGAGTGGATGACAACCTCGGCGGGTATGGTTCAGGATGGATGCCCGGCCTGTCGAAATGTTTGAACACGTGGACATTGGTTGTGCAGTCTTTTGTGACATTTGGAAAGAAAGGGAGGTTGATTATCGTATGTCTGCGTGTGTCAACTGTGGCCATGTTGATATACAGTAAAACCTCGTTATAAAGAAGTTGAAGGAGCGGTCGTAATTACTTTGTTATAACCATTAGTTTGTTATAGCCAATGTCCATTTCTTCCAACTATTCAAGCAAGGGGAATTATGATTGCTTTGTTATATCCATTTGTTTGTTATATCCCATTTTGTTATAACGAGGTTTTACTGTAGTAAATTTTGAGCTCGAAGCGAATTGTGGTTTTGACTTAATATTTTCTAATTAAATGGAGAAAAGTGTTCACTACTGTTGCGTTATGAACAAAAATACAGCTGAACTTGTGAAGGTTGTCCCAAACTTCCATTTGTCCTCCTCTAAACTCACTTAATTTTAAATAAGTGTATCTATGAACTGTGGCCTCGGAAAGTTCTATGCCTACAGTGGGGGATGGCAAGTAAGCTATGAATTTGACATAAGATCAAACCTATAGAGGTGTGCAACTACACTTAGAGGGCAACTCCACCCCATTTTTACTATTTTAGGGTTATGCTCTGTTTAGTTGAAGTCGGCGGCCCTGAATCACGAGATATAATTTGCTTTCTGGTAGTTTGTAAAGTTTTGTAGATATTGCGTATCCATCTTCCGTTCTGGCAACACTGCGAAACCGAAACTGCCAGCTCGAGCAGCTTGGCAACACTAATAATCAGCTGTGCGTCGACGGCATGACATAGTTCTCGTCCTGCGCTCCTGAGCCGACACACCGACACGGCCGGCTCAGTTGCACGTGGAGTTTCAAAACAGAAGGCAAATTGCACATTTTCTTTTTTACCGCTGCACCAAATGTAGTAAGTGTTAGTGTGTATATATATAAATTTGCCGGGCGAAAAGCCAATCCGACTGCTAGAAGTAATATGACGCGGTCAGTGCCGGCGCAGCATGACTGTATTTGTTTTTTTGCTTGCAGCAAGAGAAAAACAAATAATGGGAGATAGATGGACAGATGGTATCCACAAGCGGTCTTAGTTGTTAAAGGGGCGGTGCAACGATATTCAATTGGAATGTTTTTCACTTTACATGAGCTTACTGGCGCTAGTGGGACTCAAGGATACTCGCACGCAACGCCACTGACCAAGAAACTTCTTTGTTGCGCTGTAATTTCGAAGACAAAACCAAGTGTTTTCATTCAATCTCTCCTTCGCAAAACCTGATGACGTAGCTGGGCGGTAGCAGTACCGCCCAGTGACGATATTTGAATACGGCTCATAGATTGGACCCGAGCATGGCGTGGACACTCGATTTGGGCTCGTGATAATCGAGAGCTCAAGAAACATTCGGGTAGTGTCCTGTGTCCAATCGCTGCAATGACGACAACAGCCGAACCATAACAATGTCTGGAACTCAGCGCGTGTCCTGTGCCTTGCCAACCCTAGCGCATGGCTATGATCAACATTGGCGGCATATAATCGGCTCCAGATCACGTGGCCGCTTGTTCTGGCTGTGAGTTGAGGGGGTGAACTCTGCTCATTTTTTAAATTTTTTTTCTGCGACTTCGATTGCGTGTGGTGAAAACGAACGGGTATTTCACAGATCATTAACGTCAGGGATTCGTTCTAAGCGGTTTTTGCGCAAAATAAAAATATCAGTGCATCGCCCCTTTAAAGCTAAGGTGCTTTTATGTGTACGCTAGTTTGAGCTGCTGCGACCGGCGCTCGTGCTGGAGCAGCCGGTGGACAGTACGTGAACAGCGACTGCACCACATCGTTCTTCAAAGACGCATGTTTCGTGGAGAAATTCACAGCAGTCAGCAGCTGCAGATCCCGTGTGTAGCTGTCTGGCGTAAAGTGCTGGGAGAAGAGCCTCGTGTTGGAGCTTGAAGTCCACGGTCTTCTGAAGCCTATCCGGCGAACGGCACCGACCCACACCTTGTGCCTCTTCCGGTTTCTTGGCAACTAATGGAACCGCAGCTCCGGGTTGCGCACTGGATTGTTGGTGCAACCCACAGCACTACAAGTTGTGCTCGGCATTGCCCAACGCGAGTCCGTCAAGTCTCTCCGGCTCCACGACACGCGCGTGAGCAAGCAGCACTGCTTTGCTCTCTTCCACGCATTCGTGGAAGCTATATTGCAGTTGAATAAACTGCCAGGACCTAAAAAAAAAAATAGGAGGACACAGGATAATGTGGTAAGCACCTCTTGCCGTCAGCAGAATCGCAGAATGCCACATGAAACGAAGCGTCCGTGGCGTCTGTACGAGAGCGTAGGACGAAACCTACGTCATTGCCCAGTGCTGCTTCACTAGCTCACCTGGTGCCAGCGTTGCTCACCCGCTGTCGGGCCGCTAACCCAGCTGGTAGAACATTTTTAATATTGGTTTTAATCGGGAATGCGGTGTTGGTCTGACATGATTTTTTTGGTGTGACCATATTTTCACCCCCTAAAGTGATATCGGCCATTTCTATAGGGTCTACTTTTTGAGTGGAGTTACCCTTTAATCGAGGGGATATATAAATTTTGTCGTATTCAAGTATCTTTTCTTTAATCTCAAATTTTAGAAAAGGAAAAGCACGAATGATGAAAGCAGGCTGTCAGGACATCGCTGTACAGCATATATGCTCTTGTGTAAAGCCACAGTTTAATTTTGAAAAATTTACTTCAATGTAGATATAAACAGTTCTGGAGCTTCCATTTTTTTTTAAATACACTGGGTGCACATACACCATCCTGAATTGAGTTTTTTCTCCCAAACAAGCGGCTGCGCTGCGGTGTCAGCTCTGAGAGTATTGCTTCTCCTCAATGCACGGGGGCATGACACAAAGCACACTTGTTGGGACTAACCCGCCGTCATAAGCATTTAGAAAAATGTGAATATCGCAACTCATTTTGAAGTGAATATAGAAAAGTGTATTATTTGAAACTACTATTCAGATATTCGCACAACCTTAGCAGATGCTTTTGTTGTTTTGGCATGCACATTACTAATTTCTAAATTTCTTTTCTATACCCATTTTCACCTTTAGAAAAAACTGAGTTTTGCGCATTGTTCATACGCGATGCGAAGTAGGTCTTACGAGCTTTAGTTGTCAAAGGAAAAAGCAGTGCTTTTGGCGTTTGGGACGTGTACGTCTTGATAAGATAACATACACCTAATCTAAAATTGACCTACATTTATCTTAATTCTCTACATAAAGGGGGAAATTTGTAATGCTCCACGAGGAGTCTGACTTCTCTTTTTAATATGGTTCTTGAGCCGAAAACGGGTATACAGTGCAGCCCACTTATAACGACACCACATATAACGATATACCACTTATAACGATCGTTCCTAGACTGGAAATTATCAGTTTCTAGTCCAGGTACAACGATAATCGGTTATAACGATTTAAATTTTGGGTTTTCTTATTATCAATATAAGTGGGTTGCACTGTAGATGGTTCATGTCTGTGTCTGTCAGAGTTCTGGTTTATGCATTCATATTCTAAGTTGGGTCAGGCAACAAGGGTCATTGGGTTGAGCTTTTGCAATATCAAGTTTTCTTCGAATGGGAAGGCTTTTTCACTCGGTGGTTTGTGCACGCCCTGAGCACAAACCCGAGTTTGGAAGCTGGAATGGATGCAAACTGCTTAAGGGAGAACACTGGTCTTGGACCTTTCTTTCTTATTCTATGACCGAACCCATTGAAACTGCACAAACTTGTTCAGCTTTTTGTGCTGATTTCAGATATCTGGTTGTTTTCTCAGTCAGTAGAATTCTCCTCAAGATAAATAAAACTTGCCTGCCACATGGCTAGATACTACAAAGTGTAGAGCATACAATGTTGGAAGTACTTTTAAGATAAACCTATTATTAGTGATTTTACTACACATTGAAGTTCAGTGAGTGCTCAATGCATGGCTAACAAGTTATAAAACAAAAGATCAAATAGAAAATATTCAAGAATTATATTAGAAAACCTACCCTCAACATTGTATACTTCACACATTTAGCTGCACATTTCAATAAAGGTTATATTTGTACCTACTCTGGATGCTGAGATGTCTCTCCTGCAAATTTTCAACAAGTCCAAAAATTGTGTCTTGTGAAAACAATGTTTTAGAGTCAACTTCAAAGCACATTCAGCCCGCATAGACATTGTTAATTGATTTATAGCCCAAATATTCATCCACGAAATTAGAAGCCTGGCAAACTCGGAAGGACAACAGCCATCGCCATTTTCAGAAGAATGCAGTTTTAGGGTGTTTTTGGCTCCAGAGACCCATGTCCCCCCTTAAGCAAATATCAACTGTAATGCTAGCCATTAATAAAGTGGTTGCAATTGCTTCTAGGCACATCAGAAATTCTTTTCTGCATGCATAGATGAAACCGGTTGGCAATAGCATTCCAAAGAATAGAGAGACTTTGCGTCCTCAATAGTGGTTCCCGTGTTATGCAAGTTTGAACATCTTGTACAAAATTGTGCCGTCTTATCCCAAGACATTTCTCACCCAATGTTCTCCTTTTTACCTCTTCACTTTAGCGTGGCGGTCATATGGGGTTTTACGATACCCCTTGTCGATCGGACAAAGTCTGCTAAGCCAACATATCGTCGTAACTTTCTCAAAGGCCATTTCATATTTTTCCCTCTGTACACCTAAGCTCCCGCTTTTACCAGAGTAAAGTATTCCAGTTTCCAGCCTCGCGGCAGACAGGCAGACGACTCACTTTGTCCCGGGATATCAGCGGCATTAATGTGCCGTTCTCTCCGACAGTGCCAGAAGAGATACTTCCCACTCCGACGGGAGCCGGTTTTCCCACGAAAGACATCGACGGAGTCTCGCCCTCCCGTTTGGACCTGGAGGGACACTGGAGTGACCGTGCGGTGAAAGAAGGCAAGCTCAGCCGCCACTTTTTCCTTTCC